CAAAGATGTTTTTCTGTTAGGTAAAAGTATAAAAACTATTATCCTCTGTTATTATGATATGAAAAAGTGAGAGTATTTATAGGATAGAATAAATACGTGTTCTCGTATATATACAAAAGAAAAGAGATGTTTCTAGAAAAAGTAGTAACGACCTTCTTATAAGTATAAATACATATTTTAAGACAAGCGAAGATGTCTTTTTCGGTTAGGTAAAAGTATAAGAAATGCTGTCCTCTGTTGTTACGATATAAAAAAGTGAGAGTATTTCTAGAATAATGATAATTTATAAATGATATTTCTAGAATAAGGCACAAGCGTTCTTCTTATAAAATTAAATATACAGGGTGATCAATAAGTTGTGGTACAAGCGAAAAGGGGGTTATTCTACATAAAAAAAATAAATCGAAAATATATAAATTACTTTGTAATTTACGTGTCCAATAGAGAAAACGATCTACAGTGAGATCTGTTATAACGAGACATGATCAAGTGGACGCGTACTTTGCGAAAATTCAAAGTCGATTTTCTCGAAAACAAAGCCTAAAACGAACAATTTTTATTCTATATTTTCGACTTATTTTTTTTATGTAGAATAACCCCCTTTTCGCTTGTACCACAACGATTAAATTTAAAAAATTAAAAAACTATTCCCACCTTTTCTTACATTTTTGAAAATATCTCAAAAAGTAAGGGAGATAAAATATTTTAGTACTGGACCTTTTTTGTAGCAAATAAAATYKTCTACAAAACATAATTAATAAAAAATCGCTTTATCCAGCTTACTTTTTGAGATATTTTCAAAAATGTAAGAAAAGGTGGGAATAGTTTTTTAATTTTTTAAATATTTCTCAAAAAGTAAGTAACATAGTTTGTCTATCTCTCTTGCACGCATGTAAGCTAAGAGTTTGCGCATGCGTGCCATGGCGACCTACGTCACAATGAGTAAGAGCAGGATAGCTTCATTTTCTGTTTCTTTCTACAAAGTCGTAGGACTAAGGGAGTAATTACCTGTCTTTAAATTGGGATATTTCCTACAGGTAAATATTTATAAATATAAATTCAACACCAAAATTTAAAAAATAAATTAAATATTCATATGAAAAAGAAAATTTTGTTAAATAACCCGTTTTAAGCGAAATATCGAGCAAAAACCGTTTTCACCACTTGATTTTTAATAGAAGGGATGAAAAAAAAATTTGTTGTTTCCCTACGATTGTTCTTTGTAGTTTTTTAAAGATAATTAAAAAAAAAAAATTTAAAAAGTCCAATTTTTATATTTTTTTATTGAATTTTCATTTTTTGAGTACTTTGAACCGTCGTAGGGGTGAAAGGGTGCGTTTTAGGGGAAAAATGGTCTGAGAGAGATAGGCCTAAAATTTTATGCTCTACAACTTTTATTTGAAACTTTTTTTGATATTTTCAACATATAATCCAAAAATCGTATTTTGGGGTAGTTTTTAATTTTTTTCACCCCTTTCCCGGTGGTTGAGAACTTTTHTACYTTKCCCACAGTTTTGTACGCATTTTTCTGATAATTTCCATATTTTTTCAGCCGTATAGCTCAAAAACCCGAGTTCAGGGCTATTTTGACTGGACTATCATTGTTTCGGTGAATGCTTAACGATCGACTTCGACTTCGGTATTTTCTTCTGCGCGCATCGATTTTTCTAGCTTCTCTGTTAGTTGCGCGATTTCCCGCTCCAATTCTGCTACGTCGAGATTTGTTGTTGTTTGAGCGACACTTCGTATTGGCGCTTTTTCCGAAATTGCGGCCGTTTTCGGCAGACGCTCTTTCTCTAGGATCTTATCCAATAATAATCGCCTTAGCCGTTGTTCTCTGGTTTTAGTTAGTCTGTGTATTAATGCTTCTTTTAAATGTGTGTACGTACGTTGCTCGGGGGGAGATGTTAAGATGTCGTATACCTCTTTTATCAGCGTGGTATCCAAATTCCTTACCACCGCTGAAACCTTTACAGCATCCGATTTAACGTTGTACGCCGCGAATTCCTCTTCCAACATTAAGAACCATAAATATGGTTCCTCTTTCCAAAAAGCTGGAAGCGTTACATTTCTAAACTCACAGACGTTGATTTCCTTTGTGTAAATATCGGCACGGTTCACGTCGGCTTCGCTGGTTGGTTGCGCCATTTTTTATTCTCTTTATTATTTTTTTTTATTTTAGTTTTTTGTATTATTTTTTTATTTTTTACGCGGACGTTCCCGGGTTTCGGCACCAATTTACTGTAGAGGGTTTCTCTATAGTAAAAGTAATATTACACTGAATTTTATTTATTATTTTTATTTAAAGGATGCGACTTGCTTTTCTTTCTTGTACACTTCTCAACGGCTACGTACAGACTAGTGACTACTTCTTTTTAGCGTGGTTCCCTAGCCTTCTAGTAACCTTAGAGGGCGCGACCTTCGGTCGTACCTAGAGCACTATAGAGATGAGGTGCACCCCCACCACCACCATCACAACTATCCGTGTATGACCTGTGTACGATCTCTGTATGAACAAGTATTTCTCCCTGCGGTACGCTGTTTTTACCGTTCTTACGGTAGGGTTTTGAACTTAATGACTAAAAAAAAAAAAAGTCATGTGCGCAAATTACACGTGTTAGAAGTGAAACCTTCAAAAATCTAAGTTTCGAGAGAATGAGACGAATGCACAGTTTCAAGAGTATGATAATCGTAAGATTTATTTATTATAATATTATAACCATACATAGCAAAGGTCACTATTATGGTCTCTGGGTGGAATAGCTGATAAAATGTACACGTCTCCTAATTAAAACTTTGTAGGTACAACGAACTCTTAAACATTAACTTTTTGTAGTTTAATCAGACTCTTCGCAGTCAGTACGATTTTTTAACAGTTTTTTTTAGAAACTTACATTTCAAATTTTCTATATATAACCAGTCTCTATGCTTCTTTTCATTAAACTTTAATTTTGCACTAGCAACATCTCTTTTAATTTGCGTTTCTATTGCACGAACATCGATTTCTTTCTTTTTCATTTTCAAATATTTAGTCATTTTTTCGTTTCTAGCCTTTTGGTTTTCTTGAATACTTCGTAAAAGTTCAATAGTTTGAATGCGTTGTTGGTTTCTTGCAATTTTTTTAACACCTGCAACCGGACTTGTTTTGAGTTTTGGAGACTCATCAACTGGTGGTGGATTCTTTTCGCTGGATGTAGTATCTAATTTAAATTGTTTACTCTTACTAATGTTTTTTGATCCGGTTGTGTCATACTTTCTTTTTTTTTCATCTGTAGAAAATATCGAAGAAGAAAATGTACGTGGAGTAGAAACGTTTTTGACTTTATGAAAAATTTGTTCGAACTGCTCATAATACTCAAATGTCATATGAGCTCTTCAACTCTTATTATTGTTGTCGATACACTCCTTATATTTAGTGTTTAAGCGATTAAATTTCCATTTAATCTGATCTGCTGTTATCTGTAAAACCATAAATCAATGCTTATATCGAAAAGTTTTAATCAACACACTATCAATAGTTTAATGCACCTTCAGCATTGATGATATTAAGTATTTTTACCTGTATACATAAATCTTTTAAACCTTCTGAAATTTTCTTCCACACCTGTGATTTCTAGCCGGTATTCATAATCATGTGTATATTTTCTTCGTATAAGCTAAGCATTGCCATCGTGGCTTTCTGTGTCCACACAGCATCTGAAATATTAAGACACAACAGACAATTATAATTTAATTAAAACCTCAAAATCTAATGTGCAGTCTATAAACTATTATTTACGAGTCTTTTGGTGTTTAGTGCCTGTTGTAGGTTACTGGATTCGGTTCTTGCAAAAGCACTTTGGTTACAGAACAAAATACGAATTTATTACTAATATAGATTTGTTAACTAATTTCGAAAATATCAGATACAAAGATTCGTCGCAGCACTCGTCATCGGTACAATTCAATATTTAATAAAATGCAAAGAGAGGTATAAATTTTATATCAATAAGAACTATTTGTACCTGATGATAAATAATTATTAACTTCTGACTCTTCGCATTTAAACTCTTGCTCTTCTGTATAATAGTATATTTCTGTAAAATAAATTTATTTATAGTTTTGTATTTTAAAATGAAATTGTATTCACATTTTATGTGTAGAATATAAAAAATAAATAGTCAATGTTTATACCTTCATCCATACTTATATTTATTTTTTAACAGTCTGAATTAACTTTTTATTATTTCCAAAAAACTACGATGAGAAGAAAGCTTTAAGAATTTTTTCAACAATAAACAATATTACTAACGATAATATAACTAAAATTTCGATCAATGCCAACTTAAAGAAAAAACACTTGGTTATTTTCTGCTACTGAGTTGGTATCGATTGCACGCATCACTCGAGAGCAACACTTTTTACAGTGCTCGATTGTGCGATG